CGGGCGGGCACATGCCCCGCACACGGCGCGATGCCACGCTCGGCCCACACCCACCCACGTGCCGTGGACAGGCAGTACTGCCCAGAGAGGCTTTGGCTGCCCCTGGGTCCCTGGAAGTGTCCAAGGCCAGGTTGGACGGGGCCTGGAGCAACCTGGGACAGCGGAAGGTGTCCCTGCCCATGGCAGAGGGTGGGACTGCACGGGCTTTAAGGCCCCTCCCAACCCAATCCATTCCATGGCTCTATCAGTGACCATTACTTGGACCTAAGTCTAGTAGGAGTGAGCAGAGTGTTTTGCAGAGGGAAGCAGGAGGATCACCCGAGCAGCACAAGGGCATTTCTGGCCACAGTTGAACTCGTCTCAACCCTCGTGCCCAAAGCCAGGTTTATGTAAGAGTGTAATCTCCTGCTGTGAATGACATTCTGTGTTTGTACAATGCAACATTTCTGATGTCTTTGGGCTTTAGGGCTTGGAAATCCTCTTGTCGAGTTCAGCCCTTGATTAGAAATGGACCCAAAGTCTTTCCACTGGTTTTGTTCATCTGTGAGTTTGTGTCTTTAAATCAACAACTTTTCATTATTGTTTTTAAATGAGTTTGGTGTAATTGATTGATAAAATCCACCCTTTGCTGGCAAAATTTGTCCAAGAAAAATGGATGATGAGGTTTGGAAGTGAGTTGACAACATGGGGCGGTTGGTGCCCTCAGGAGGAGAGGCTGGGTACCCAGCAAGGTCTGGTGGCTGGAGAGGAGAAGGTTCCCTTCTGTCATTATTGAATCACTGAATCATTTGAGTTGGAAAAGCCCTCTGAGATCATCGAGTCAAACCATCCCCCAGCACTGCCCAGGCCACCACTGACCCATGTCCCCAGGTGCCACATCCACAGGGCTTTTAAATCCCTCCAGAGACGGGGACTCCACCACTGCCCTGGGCAGCTGTGCCAGAACTGGACAACTTTTTCTATTAAGGAATTTTCCCTGATATCCAACCTGAACCTCCCCTGGTGCAACCTGAGACTGTGTCCCCTCATCCTGTGACTTGTTCCCCGGGACAGAGCCTGACCTCCACCTGGCTCCACTCTTCTGTCAGGGAGTTATAAATATCTTTTATATATATATATAATAAATAGGCATATCAATTTTTTTTTTACCAAGCTACTTCCATATCCCTGACTTCTTGATTGCAGAAAGATACTGACAGAATTTTGGGTATTTCCTGGTGCCATCTGTTGGTTACACACCAGCCCTGGAGGAGTCACCTTTCCCAAATGAGTGCCCCATGCTTGAGGCACCATTTGCATCAGTCACATAAACCATCTTCCCTGTGACCTGCACCACAAGAAGCTTCTGTTCCAGCTGTCCTTTGCTAAAATCTCAGACACAGCACCTGAGCATCCAGAGGCATCAGGGCACAGCAGGGATCTGATTGTCCATGAGGAAAACCATGAGAGCCCATTGCAGAAAGAGGAAGGGGCTGCCATGGTACAGTGTTGGCAGAGTGCCCATGGCAGAGGGGGTTCATCAAGAGATCTTAAAGACCCCTTCCAACCCAAGCCATTCTAGGAGTCCCTGTTTGTTGGCAGGGTGTTGGTAGAGCTCTGTAGGCTCCTCTGTCATCAAGTCTCTGCTCCCCAGTTCCTGCTCCAGCCTCAGGTTTCCAGGAGCAGCTGATGCACACACTGGGCAGCCCAGGGGAGCACACGGACCTGCACAGGCTCTGGAGCAGCTCTAGAGCAGAAGCCACATACCCAGGGTCACCATGGGAGATGCCACCTGACAGCCAGGGCAGGATGACAGGCACGGTGGTATTGGAGCCAAACATTCCCACTCCTGCACATAGCCAGGAGGGATTAAGGGATTACATTTGGCTTAAACACCCAGAGAAACACTCCCGTGGGTCATGTCAACAAGCCACATCCAAGCATTTGGACTGCATGATCTTAGAGATCCTTTCCAACCTAAATGATACTGTAACTGTTCTTTTCATTCTATCATACCTTCTATATATGAAAAAACATATCTTGGACTTCCTCTTCAACAGAAAATTTCAGGATTTTAGCTTTTCCCCCAGGAAACAGCAGCTGCAGGTTCTTCCCACCACAGGCAGCTGTTTGTAAACAGCTGGGCAAAGCCACTTCTCAAGAGCAGGGAAACATTCCTTTTACACAAACTCAGGGGGGTGGATTTCTGCCTCTTCAAGCCTTTAAAGAAGAAAAAGCTTTTATTCTTGCCTATCTGGTGTGGCACAGCAGAGCAGTGAGAGCCAGTCTGAGCCAGGAGCACAGCAACACGTTCCTGGATCTGTCTGTGGATAAGGTGTGACTCCCCTTTGCCTTGCAGCACTGGGGCAAACTCAGCTGCCTGCGATGACCTCGTGTGTGAGCTGCTCAGAGCTGCGAGAGCTGGGCACAACCAGCTGCTGCCACACGGGAGCAGGGCCCAGCAGCCAACGGGGAAAGGAAGAGCCAGGGGTGGCTGCAGCAACCAGAGGAGCAGAATGGCATGTGGGAGGTGGGATCTGCTGTCCCTGATCACAGAGCAGGATGGCACACAGGGGATAGGATCCACTGTCCCTGACCACAGAGCAGGACGGCACACAGGGGGTAGGGACCCAGTGGGAGGGTCTAGGCACTAGGTAAGACCCAGATGAGCAGGTAAGCACCCTTACAAGGTCAGTCTCTGTAGCATTCAGCAATTAATTCAAATTTAAAAAGCAATAGCACTGTTCAGAGCAGACGCAGTTCTCACTGAAGTAAACTCACATTATCCACTTTGCCAACGGGGGATAAGAGAAGAAAAGGCAGTCCCTTCGCTTTTGGGAATAAGAAGAGAAAAGGTTTCTCTTGGCTGTTGAGTCTCCAACACTCCCTGATCAGTGAGAACCCTTCCACTGCTGGAGGTCCAGAGCACCTGGAGCCCCAACCCCAAACCCTGGCATCACCACATCACAGTGCCTGTACACCCCCTCTCCTCCTGCCCCGCTCCCAGCAGGCAGAGCAGGATCCTCCTGGAGTCCTCTCTGCAAGGAGAAATGCTTTTTACAGAGCTGTAGCAGTTGCTTTGCTCTCTGAGCAGTCAGGTTGGTCTGTGAGCTCCTTCCTCCCCCGCAGGCTGGGGCCCTGCAGAGCTCAGTGCCCGCACAGGCCTGTCACCCACATCCTGTTTGTGACCGTGGCCGTGTCACACTGTCATCTTGCAGCACCCAAAGCGTGCTCTCACCACTGCTGGGAGGGCATCACTTGTTTGGTCTTTCTTGAGAGAGACTTTCCACACCCACAGCAAGCCCGAGTCTCCCAAGGTGTGGCAAATTAACCTTCCAAATCAAAGGAATCACAACTTCAGACTGTAAAGCTTCAGTAATTTAAGGTCCCTTTCTCAGTGCTGCAGCTGTTCATCCTCTTTGGGCAGTGTACCTACCCTCACCAGATGTTCTGGTTTTTCTGTCCCAGTTGCTTTCAGACACCCCTACATCTGCCTTTGAGTCAACATTTTGGCCAAATAGAACCAATCTCTCCTTTTTTTTTTCTCCTTTTAGCTGGTACCACTGGCAACAAAAAGTAAAATTTTCTTGAGACAGCAAATCACAGGTGAAAAACTTGATGAGTCCACCTGAAATGCCCCAGCCTGGGCTGGGGACGGGCATCAGCTCCATATGGGTGTTGGAGCAGAGCCCCACTCTGGGCCCGGGGGCTGGGGTGGATTCACAGCAGGGGAGCTCCCAGACTGAACTGCAGACACTCAGTCTAACAGCACGGACAGGACATCTTCCCGCATGTACAAACTGCATGAGCTGCCCTCCTGATTGTCCTCTGGCTCCCCTGAGTGCCCTCCAGGTCTCCTGGCTGCTCTCCAGGTCCTCTGACTGACCTCCAGATCCCCCGAGTGCCCTCCAGGTCCTCTGACTGACCTCCAAGTCCCCTGAGTGCCCTCCAGGTCCTCTGACTGACTTCCAAGTCCCCTGAGTGCCCTCCAGGTCCTCTGACTGACCTCCAAGTCCCCTGAGTGCCCTCCAGGTCCTCTGACTGACCTCCAAGTCCCCCGAGTGCCCTCCAGCTCTCCCAGAGATTTGCTGTATTTCCAGCTATTTACTCATTTCCAGAGGCCAGTACTGGCTCTGCTGGCTTAGCAGCGTTCATACCTTAGAGGAGTGTTGGGAACAGGCTGTGGCTGTTTGGAGCTCATCTCAGAGGGAAGCTATTGGATTTATCCTGCAGTTCCTGACAAGCCCAGGAAGCCCTGGCACAGCAGTACCCAGGGTACAGCCACACGGGCTGCCCGGGCAACAGGCAAGTGAGTCACACAAGGTCTTTGAATCATATCAAAATGCTTCCAATTGTATTTGAAAAACATCATTAGGCTGCTTGGGCTGAACAAACAGCCTGTTTCTGTACACTGAGAGGGAGGGAAAATTTCCCTTTTCCCCCACATCTGTGCCCATAGTTATTGAATCACTTCCCACACACTCTCACACCATCCTTGCTGCCTGAGGCCTCTGATCCTGGAGAAATGTGGGCAGGTAATGGTCCTCCTGCTGTGAGCAGTGGGAACACAGGCCCAAGGGGCAGCTCCTGCAGCCCCTGGAGTGCTGAGGGAGCAGATTGCGAGCACAGCATTCCAGGAAGGTCGCTGAGACCCACTGACCTGCCACTGCAGCCAGCACAGAGCAATCCTGCTCATCCCTGCAGGACAAGGCTGTGTCTTTGCTTCTCTTGCCTTAAAGAGTTCCATATCTGCTGGACACACGGAGCTGCTTGGGGCAGCAGCACACAGACACCACCATCTTCCCCTGCACTAGCTCTGCAGAAGAACCTGGGGGCATGTACATGCTCAGGAGGGTCCTTTCCACCTCAGATCCCCTGGAATAAGATAGCTGGGCATGACATGGAATATCACACCTGGCAGAGACTGCAGCTGGTCGGATGAAACCAATACACCAGGTTATTGCAGGGTTTGTACAAAGGCTGCCAGGAGATGCCAGAACATCACTGCCTGGGCTCTCTTTGCCTGCTCAGGGCTCCCTCCTCTTCCCAACGTGACTCTGTCACTGGTTTTAGTAGAAGCACTTGCTTTATTAAAGACCTTTGGAAGCCACTGACTCCAGTAACAGGAAATAAATAGCTATCAATTTTGCATTCAATTAAAAACTCTTATTAACACTAAAGTTCGCTGAGGAAGTTCTGCAAAGGTTCTTCACGTTTCTCACGTTAATGAAGAGGTCCACAGCGTGCCCTGATTAAAAATGAAAATAATTAAACGCCCAGAGCTGTGTAAATCTCATCAGTGCTGTTGCCTGCAGGAGTGCCCTGCCGTGCCACCGCCCTCCACCCACGGAGTGCCCGGGGCGAGGGGCGGCCTCGGTCCCACGGGCAGAGCCCAGACATCGAGGGTGACACGTGTGACGTCAGACACGACTTTCTTCCTCTTCCACCGCCCGGTGAAACCCTGGAATGAATTTCAAAAGATGCTTCCGGACACTGGCTCTCCTGCTTTTCCGCGGGAGGGTCCCAAAACTACTGGAGTAGCTGCTGCTCTCCCAGAGCGGGGACATGGACCCGCTGCTGGCCAGGCTGATGCTGCGGTTCCTGCGCAGGGAGCACCTCCCGGCGGCACCGTCCCCGTCCCTGGGGAACACACAGTCATCGTCCACGCTGGACTGGCGGCTCAGGCTCTCTGCAGCCGAGTCCTCGAAGGCGCTGCCCTGGAAGAAGCTGTCCTCGCTGCCCACCGTCATCGAGCTCAGCCGGCTGCGGGAGCTGCTCTCGCTGGAGAAGCGGGGCTTGCTCGGGAAGAGGGGTCCTGGCGAGCTGCAGCCGCCACACGAGCTGGGCTCTTCCAGGTCCAGCGCGCCCAGCAGAGCGTTGTCGTTCGCCTTCCCTGGAAGCGGGAGCCAGAGGGGAGCGTCAGTCACCGGCACCCGCCACGGCCGGGGCAGGACGCCTGTGCCAGGGCAGCACGGGGAAGGGTCATGCCCAGCCCCTGGCACACGGAGCAGCCCCTTTCCACATGGGAAACTGTTTGTGGCTGCGAGGTGCTTCCCACAGAATGGGGACTGCAGAATCAAACCAGCTCCCTGGGTAGCCCATAAAAAACCCAGCCAAACCTCCGCCCCGATAAACCCAAATTAAGAATGGAAAAAAGCTTCGCCACCCACATAAACTCATTTCCTAGGACTGACACAAAGACACCTTGGTCTGCATCAGTCAAAGCAGCATCAAAGCTCATTACTGTCGGGACAAAAGCGCTCCCAGGGCCAGCCCCACGCCTTCATTAGGAGGGGGGAAGGAAGCAGGGGGCGGGTTGCAGAGGTGCCGTTTCCGCGGCAGCCGGGACGTACCGTGCAGCAAGTGCCGCTCCCGGGCCAGCAGCGCCCGCAGCTCCCCCCACCGCTGGTGCAGCGCTTGCTGGGGAGGAGAAGGAAGAGGCTCCGTCACTTCGCAGAAGCACAAAGCACTTGTCAAGAAAACAGTCTCTAAACAGTGCAGGTCACGTCCAGGAAACGCTTGTGTGTCTAGCTTTTACTGTGACGGTTTTACCGGACTTCAGCACATTTCTTCCGTAAAATATGATTCTGCTTGTGCTCAGAGTGTTCTGGCTGAGGTACTGGCCATGTCTAACTTAGAAAGAAGCAGCCTGAAACCTGGAGAGCATGCAGCCCAGCTTCAGACAGTGCCAGCACTCCTCCACAGCCCCAGAGACCCCACTGAGAACGGGCACCCCGCTCCTCTTCCCTGAGTTCCACAGCCCTCCCCAGCTCCAGACCCCCACTGGGAAGGGACACCCCACTCCTCCTCCCTGGGTCCTGCAGGGTAGCGAGGGGGGGCACAGCCAACCATTCCTGCCCCGTGTTGGGAACACACCCGGAGCACCCTTACAGCCTCCCAGGAGCACGAGCCACCCAACACCCCACAATGGTTCCCTTCTCTCTGTGGCAGGTCAGCTCTTGGTGTACGATAAATCACGGCAGAGTCGATTAAAAACACCCACCAAACAGGTGAGGATGTGCCTGGGGACAGTCACAGGAGGCCCCTCCCCACAGATCTGATGAAGCCCATGCAGCTGGACATTCCTACAGCCAAACTGACCAGCATAAGCTATCCTGGGCAGTCCTGGGATTGCAGCCACATTTCTTCTCTATGCCTGACTTTGGAAAAACAATATCACAGGGACTAGGGCTAGGGGTGCTGGGGGTGATGGCTGCAGGGGACCCACTGGGTGTAAGCCCCTGCCAGGATCCTCAGTCCCATGGACACACACCTGACCCCATTGACCGTGACATGTCTGCATCAACAGCAGAATAACTAATGAATTACATTACCTTGAGTACCTGCAGCTTGGCCTCCAGCTCCATTTTCCGCAGGAACAAGGCCCCATTGACCGTCTCTAGCCTGTGGAGAACAGGTGATGGTGGCTCCAACGTGCAGAGGCTCTGCCCAGCCCAGCCCTCGGGGATTTTGGCCTCTGAGACAGCACAGGGCTGGGGGTACCACGAGGAGCTCTGCTGGCTTCAGCAGGAGAGGATATGAAGCCAAACCCCATCTGAAGGAGGGACACCCACCTCAAGTAGTTCCCTGAAGACTTTATCAAGTCCACTATCTGCTTGTGACCAAAGCCCTCGGTGTTGACACCGTTGATGCTGACGAGGATGTCGCCTGTTGGAGACACACGGAGGCCAAAATGAGCATCCACGGCCCATGCATGTCTTCCAGCTGCTCCACAGTAACAGTGACAGGGAGAAAGGAGGGTAAGGCCTCCCGTGGCAGCAAAACCCATGGATATTTACCAGTCTGTAGGCCAGAGAGATGGGCAGGACTTTCCTCTTGAATTTTGCAGATGCAAGTGCACACCTCCAAGGAGAAATCATTTTGGTTTGGAAACCTAACGGTCTGTTAATGCCAAAGGGACAGAGTTACCAATACTGGAGCCATTAAAATCATTTAAAATTCAATAGTCTTTTACATTTTTTCAGTGAGAGGGCTGTGATAAGCCTCAAAATGTTATAACCCAACAATTAGAAATGTATTTGTACGGCAGAGAACAGCAGACATCTGACAGGTTCCTGTACGCTGTGTTTGCAAAAAAATAGACTAATTTTAAAGCAAGTTTGTTATTCAGTATTAAAAACTCGGTAACTTTAACAAAAAATATCTGTCAGCATGGGTGGGGATGGCTTTCTGGAAGGATGTCTCGTTCCCAGGCATGGGAAGGTGGCAGGATGGGACACAGGCTTTGCAAGAAGAGTTTGACTCCTCCTCCCTGGGAATGCCGTGTGGAGTCAGCTGCCAGAAAGCTCAGTTTGCAATGGGAACCAAAAAGAAAGAAGAGTTGAACCTACTCTTGCTATTTTGTCCTCTGAAACTCATCATCCACACACATCCCTGCACCCCTCAAAAGTGCTTTTTGTTCTTGACTTACATATTTAAATATACATCAAGTAGCTCTAAGCATAAATCCCTCGTGTGGTTTTGGGTGCTGACATGAATTTAGAGAAATGCAAAAGCTGTCACCACAGCCCCCCCCGGATCTTGCAGGGGAGGAAAATGTCCTCTGGTGTCACGCAAATACCTCGGCACATCTGCCTCCTGCACTGAGCACTGAGGCTGAGCTCCCTGAAAACCCGTGGCTGCTCCACCAAACCCAGGCTGAACAACTCACACTGCATTCCCAATTTCCCCAGTCAGTGTGAAACAAAGGGATGGAGACCGGGTGAGTTCAGAGCTCATCTGGCCAAATCCCTCCAACACAGGATTCCAGCCCCTGGACCAGCAATAAGACTTCTGGTTAAACTGTGGGCACCGAGTGAAGCCTGAGCTCCCTGCAGATGTAGACCTAAAGTTTCACATCATCTTATTCTGTTTTGCCTAAATTTAACTCATAGTAATGAAAGTACAGCTTCTAAGTAATGGTTATCCTCAGTGTCAGAGGCTGCCTTTCCACGGCCCAGACTTTCTATGAAGTGCTCACGCTAAATGCGCGTTCGGGAAGAAAATGTGCCAGGAACAATTATTTTTAATCAGAATGTCACACACAACGAAAATCTGCCCTGACAGTTTACACAAAAGCCCAATAATCGACTCAATTATCCTCCCTTCTGAAAGCTCTGCTCTGTTCACGAGCCGAGCGCTGACCCGCTCATTAGTCACAGACCCAAACTGGGCGAAGTTAAGCTTTTCCTAATGCACTGATCTCACTGAAAATACTGCTTCTCCCTGGGAGAGAGCTTTGGAGGTGCCCTGCTGCTGGCAGGCAGATCCCACTGCTCCCAAACTACATCCCTTTATTCCTGGGATAATTTTTAGCTACAGCCAGGATTTTAGTTGGCCTGGTGATCTAGGAAGTTACCTTTCTCACAAAAACCTGTGGAAAAAATCTGCCACTAGCCGTACTCCTGATAAAATTCTGGTTTCCCTATCTGATGATTTACTGACTTCTACATTGAACAGAATATCTTCCTATATGATTTAGTCCCTGCAAAAAAGTTATGCTTAGCAGTCATTTATTGAAAAATACACCAATATTTTGCATCTTCAAAAGTACCTACCTCTCTATGTAAGTTAAAGGAGGTAGCAAAAAGCCAGTATAAGGTATTTTTTGAAGAGAGTTTTTTTATTTCTCTCCTTTTGTATGACAATATTTTCATAAACAATTCTCAAAAAAATATTCAGTTATGGAGGCAAGAAGGCACTGCCATTGCCTTTTATGCGGATTTGGATGGGATTTCTCCTACATTCAACACTCTGGTTTGTGAGAATGCCAGAAATTCTCATCTGTGACCTTTGCTACGAAAAAATCTTTGGAAAACCATCCCAGTTCTATATCAGTGCTGTAAGCTCTTCCAATTTCACAGAATCTGACAGTCACTTTCCTCTGCTCTGGGCTGCCTTAACCTGATTTTAAGGATGTGACACTTAAGACTCTGCACCACATTTTTTTTTTTAATGAATCATCTTATCATTTAAGTCTTACCTGGATTTCAAACCCAAACGTCTCTTTATCTTCTTTCAATATAGCAACGAGGTGTCTGTAGGAAGAACACACACAGCCCCGTGTGAACATGGGGTGACACGCTCTGTGCACCTGCATGTCCAACCAAAACCATCGTGTTCCCCCCATCACCTCTCCCTGGGCCTGTGGGGTGTCCCCATGCCGTCCCTCCGATGGAGCAGTGGTGGTGCTGCCTCTTTCCTTACTCAAACAAACTAAAGGTCACCTGCATTACCCAGGTACTGGCTACTGGTCTCTGCCTTGCACCCTGATCCCACTTGAGCTGGGAAGATTCCCAGGACACGTTTCATGCAGAGTAAACAATGACAGTGACTCTAGAATCATAGAATCGTACCTTTGTGGCTTGGAGGAGTCACCCGAGGAGCTGGATCTGGCTAAGGCAAGCTGTGACCAGAAGTGGGAGAGGACAGGGATCAGTAGGTCTGTGGCTCTTGGAGGCACATGGCTAAAATCAGTAGTTTAGAGAAAAGCTAAAAGCAGCTGGTGGCATCCCACAGCACCTTGCACCAACACAGCCTCTGCCTCAAATGGGAACTTGAACTTTCTGACCAGGAGGAAAAGCACCCAGAGGTCAAAGTCACCTGTCAGATGCTGGCACTGAGCTCAGTGCTCAAATCACATCTCTGTTGTACTAAGAGCTCACCTCATTTTTGTACCTTTCCTCTAAAAGTCTGTGGGCATTTATGAACTGAGCACCTGCCAGGAGAGGCATAAAGCACCCAGGTGAGTGCAGACAGCGAGCTCTGAGGTGTCTCGTGGCAGCTGCACAGCATTTCCCAGGCAGACACGGACACCCAGGATCTCTGCTTCAGGCAGTGCCTGGAGAGGTCTCTGGGAAAAGCCAGGATCATTGATTCTTCCCATAACCAGGAATAAGGAATGACAATATCAGTGAAAAGTCTGTAGCTGAAACAGCCAATGCCTCAGGCTCAGCAGGATCAAATGGTGCCACAGTGTGATCTCCTACAGAAACAGCGACTTCATGGGTGAGCAGTTACTTGTTGAGGGACAAGGAGAGAAGGGAGAGGCCACATGTGTAAGAACCCACTGCAGAGAAGGTGGGAGGGCTGGAAGAGGCACACGGGGTGATGGACCCGGCACAGGGGACGGGCCCTGCAGTGTGCCCTTGGTTCTGAAGTGTGTTGTAACTCAGCTTTGCCAGCCACAGCCACAACAGAGCCGTCACCACCACCCTGCCCTGCCAGCGGCCACCACCACACTGAGGGGGACAAGTCACAGCGAGGGTGGGTCCATCACACCAAGGGCTGCTCTGCCACACCGAGGGCAGCTCCACCACAGCCATGGGAGCTGGTGCCACCCAGCAGCAGCATTCCCAGGACCAGTCTGGCTCTGGCTTTCCCTTATGTCCCTACATGTACCAAGAAAAGGATGAAGTGTGTTTCTGTGGCTGAACAAAGTGAAACCTTAAGTGCACAGATATTACACACTACTTTTCTGATCCTAATTTCAGACTACAATCTGTGTCAAATGCTTTCTATTCAGGCTTCTTCATGTCAGACAAAAAGTCCAGAGCTGGAACTGCTCAGTTGATGGTTCTCAGCCTCAGCAGGACAGTCCTGTGGGAATCCCACAACAAGCTGCAGCAATGTGGTGCTCTGTGCTGTACTGGGGGGAAAGCCCAGCAAAAGAGACAGCCCCAACAGCCCCAATAGTTGTACAGAAACACCCCCAAATCCAGATGGAAACAGCTCCTGGTGGGTGCTCTCTGTCAGCACTGCAGAGCAGAGGGCAGTGGTCAGGCTGCCAGACTGAGGGAAATGCACATTTAAGGGAGCACCCAGGCAGCACGAGCCCCTCTGTGGGGCTCTCAGCACGGCTGGAAATGGAGAAGGAGCTGAGCCAGGGTTGGATCCCGGCTCCTGCCGCCCTTCACAGCCCGAGCCCACAGGCAGGGCAGGACACCCCATCACTCGCTGCTCACGGAGCTTCCCACACTGCCGGCGCTGCCAAGATCCCATCGCCAGCCCCCAAACGGGCCCAGCCAACGGCACCGGCAGTCATCCTTCCAGCACCCCGAAACCGGGGGCCACAGAGAGCCTGCCCGGTCACTGCTGGGTCACACCCGGGAGGCAGGAGGAGCCCCGGCCCCCCGCAGCCAGCCCATACCTGCTTG